GGGAGGGTGGGAACCTGCCGCTCTACAATGTACTCTCCCTAGTACCGACAAAGCCGTCACCCACACCGGCAAAGGTGCCACCCACACCCAAACCCACACCCACACCCACACCCGGCCCTGCCCCTGCCCCCCCTCACACCTCACCTTGTACAGCTGCTCCCGCACATCCCCCTCCACCCCGTACTTCTTCCTCAGCTTCCCGCTGATGCCCCACATCAGAGTGGCGCCCACCACGCGCGCTGCACACGCAGGGGAGGGGGGTGCAGGGTGAGGGCAAGGGCAAGGGGGCTCGGCGGGGAGCTCCGCGGCCGGCGCGACGGCAAGCTTCCCCCGGGCCTCGGCCTGCCGCCGCCGCCGCAGCGCGCGGGCGCCGCCGCAGCGCGCGGGTGCCGCCGCCTGCCGCCGCCGCGCACCCACCCGCCTCCCGCGACACCCATCCAAAGTTGCCCGCCTCTGATATGTATTCAAAGGTCTGGAAGGACTCGTGCATGTTGCGGTAGATGTTGACGGTGATGACCTGGCAGCGGGGAGGGAAGGAGCGAGGGAGCCGTGAGCACGGGTGGCGGCAGCGCGCGCATGTGCGTGTGTGCGGTGGCGGCGGGGTGCGTGGTTGGGAGCAGGCGGCGCCCGAGCGCTGCAGGGCGCGCGTGGGTGCCTGCGGGACACCCGCGGTGCTTGCCTGCCGCCGCCCTGCGGCCTGCCGTCGCCTGCCACGCCGCTTCACCCCGCACCGCGCCCTGGGCAGCGCCACTCCCCTGCTGCAAGGGCGACCCAGGCGCACCTTGACAAGCCAGTCGTCCACCCAGCGCCGCCACATCTCCTCCTCTGCAGCGGTGGCGGGCATGGGCGCCCCGCCGCCGCCACCCGCGCTGCCGCCGCCGCCGCCGCCAAACAAGCCGCCCAGCCAGCCCTTCTTGGCCGGCGCGCCGCTGCTGCCGCTGCCGCCGCTGCCGGATGGCTGCTTGCCGCCGGCGGCCTGCGTGGCCCGCACCTCTGCCGCCAGCCGGCTGATGATTGCTGAGCTGTCGTTGAGCTGCTCGCCGTCCACCACCACCACTGGCACCTTTTTGTAGTCGCTCCACTTGATCTCGGCCTTGGTGAGGGGGTTGACCTCCACGCAGCGGTACGGTATCTGCGGTACAGCAGCGGCAGCAGCAGCAGGGGGACAGCCAGGGCGCGGCTCGGGGCGTGGGGCACGCGGGCAGCCGGCGACACAAACCCGCCCTGGCAGCATGCAGGCTTGGCCGCCACTCGAAATGTGCGCGCGGGGGATTTCCATGCCTGCCACCCAGGCTGCAGCGGCACCACCACTGACACACACACAAACACACACACACAGCGCACGCACCCCACCGCACCTTGTAATAGTCCAGGAATGCCTTGACCTTGCAGCAGAAGGGGCACACCTCGTACTGGTAGAGCACCACCTCGCGAGGCAGCGCCCCCCTCGCCGCCGGCAGCGTGTACCGGCTGTCCGCCTGCCGCACATGGCCGAGCGCGGGAGGAGGGGTGGAGGGTCGGGCAGGGATTTGCGGTGGGGCGAGGGTGGCAAGCAGCGCAGCGGGAGGGAAGAATGCAGGCCACTGGTAGCAGGCGGCGCAGCTGGGCCGCTGCGCTCCCTCCCAGGGCGACGGCGGCGGCGAAAGGCAACTGCTCTGCTGCCGAGCCTGGGAGCAACACGGCGACCAGCCAGCCAGCCAGGTTGAGAGAGGCAAGACGTACCGGCACATCGGGCGCGCCCTTCTCTCCCTGCCAGGGCGCCTCTGCCCGCGCCACGGGCCGCGCCGCAAAGCCGTAGGAGGCGGCGGCGGCGGCGGCCGCCGCTGCCACCAGACCCAAAGCTCCCCGGCTGCGGCTGGCGCTGCCAGCCTCCACGGCCGCCCTGCAATCGCAGGATGGGCTGGTGAGCGGCCTGCGGGCCGGAGAGTGGGGGATGAGGGCCTGTGATTCTAGACCAGCGGCCACGCTCCACCGCACCTTGTGCTGATCGATTGCAGCTGCTGAAGATGACTGCTCAGTGCCTCTGACGCCTGCAGGCGCCGCAAAGCTGCAGCCGCTCCCCGAACTGCAGCGCGCATTTTGTCGTGCTGCCCAGCCCAGGGCGGTGCTCAGGTGAAGAAGGGAGTGCCTATTCTTTGGGGTTTTGGCCAAATTGCAGCGCGCGCAATGGCCGGGGGAGCTGTGTGCCGCCCATGTGGAGCTCGCTGGCACCCTGCCTGTCCATCTCGTGGGCGCCAGCAGCAAGCTGCGCATCATTCGATCATCCCTGCGCACACCCCCTGGGCTCCTGGAGCCCGGCAGCCTTTTGCCTTCTCGCCTTCTCGAGCAAAGGAGCGTGTACAGCAGCTTGCTGCGCGTCACGTTGCTTGTGTTTGATACAGGTGAGCAGCGCAGGTCCAAGGCACCCTCCCCGACAGTGGCGCCCGGCCCAAGTTGACCCTCGCAATGCTGTTCGGCCATGCAGGCCCAGGCCGCTCCTTGTTCCGCCCAGGCAGCCCCACGTAGAGCGGCAGCACCATGGGGAACTGCATGGCAGCGCCGCAGGTCGTGGATGGCACGTCCGACGGCGCCGTCACCGCGGTGGTGGGCGCTGGCAAGGCGCTGGCCGGGGGCGGCGTGGCCCCGGGGCCGCAGCAGGTGGCCCCAGACGCGCCGCCCCCAGCAGCTGCGGGGCCTCCAAAGCCCGACGCCATGAAGATCCACCAGATGAAGAAGCGGATTGCAGTGGCGGCAGAGGCCATCTCCAACGCCGCCGACATCGAGGTGCCGGTGGTGCCCAAGACCGACTATGCCGAGCGGCTCATCGGTGCGCGCATGCGCGCCGCGCGCTGCGCACGTGCTGACCGCTGCCTGCGCCCTCGTGCGGACCAGCAGCGCGATGGGAGGAGCAGGGGCACGGCTGCTGCAGCGCGGCGGGGGTCAAACGCTGCCAGTGGGCTCGAGGCGACGCTTTGCATCCCTCCCTGCTGCCCCGGTGCATTTGAGAGCCCTCACCCTGTGCCCTAGGTCCTGCACCCCGGCTGGCTGCGCCGCAGGCAAGGCCATCGAGGGCAACCTGCTGTTTGAGCAGCTGACGCTGCCTGCCAAGCAGGCCATCATCCGCAGCATGACGCCGCAGGCGGTGCGGGCAGGGGACGTCATCATCAAGCAGGTCTGCCCGCCCGGGAGGCCTGCCCCACTGCAGCGAACAAGCAGCATGGACAAGCAACATGCCTGTGCGGGCGCATGGCATGCATGCGCGCTGGAAGGGACCCGCATGCGCAGCACACAGCGCACGGCGTGCACATGCGCATGGGGTCTCAGCCGGCGGCTCCCCCACCATGCCGTCCGCAGGGCGACACCGATGCCAGCAAGTTTTACGTGCTGGAGCGGGGCGCCGCCGATGTGCTGCTGTTCAAGGAGGAGTGGGGGGAGGAGCGGGCGGTGCACTCCTACCAGCCGGGCAGGTGCGGCGGCGGGAGGCGTGGGGCGGGCGGCCAGGACACGCAGCATGTGGCACCGGCACCCTCCAGGATGCAGCGTAGGCTGGGCTGCCTGCCACGCGTGCTTGTCCAATGGACACCCTGCGTCCTGCCCCAGTCGGCACGCCGAGCTGCACCATGCCATATGCACCCCCACCCGCCCGCCTGCCTGCCTGCAGCGGTTTCGGCGAGCTGGCTCTCCTGTACTCTGCGCCGCGCGCCGCCACGGTCAAGGCCACCGCCGACGGCAAACTGTGGGTGAGCCTGCCTGCCGTGGGCTGCGGGCAGGGCTGCCGTGGGCTGCATCACGTGCGGCCGCGCCGCCCGCCCGCCCGCTCTTGCCCACAGTACAGACCCTTCACACCCACGCCACGCTCCCACGCATCCTGCCCTGCCTGCCCCTGCCCCTGCCTGCCCCAGGTGATGGAGCGCACGGTGTACGCCGCCATCAAGCGCACCGATCAGCAGCAGGTGGCGGCGGAGAAGGCGCGGCTGGTGGAGCAAGTGCCGCTGCTGGCGGTGCTGGCGCCGGTGCGTGGGCTGGGCTTGTGTCCGCAAGCGCCGCCGAGCCTTGCCCGAGCCTCGCTGGAGTGTGGGGCTTGCTGGGAGCGACCTGTGCATGGCCTCAAGAGGACCCCAGACCCCGCTGCAGCTGCATGAATCGCTGCTCGCTCACTGTGGTGTGTGGCTCGGCGTCTGGCCCTCCTGCGCCGCCCGCCTGCCTGCCTGCCTGGCTGGTGCAGGAGCACAAGCAGGTGGTGGCGGATGCTCTGGAGCTAGTGGAGTTTGGGGCTGGGGAGGCGGTGTTCGGGCAGGGCGAGGCAGCAGACCGCTTCTACCTGCTGCGCGAGGGCACGGGTGGGTGGGCGGGGTGTGCATGTGCATGTGCAGGGTGGTGGTGGTGGTGGTGGTGCCGGTGTGGGAGGGGCACTGCTAGGCCTGGTGAGGCTGCCAAAGGGCTGCCGTTCCCTGCCGCTACCTAAAAGCAACTCGGTTTCACTTTGCGCCGCGCCCACCCCCCCACCCCCACCCCCCAAACACACCCCTTCCCGCCCGTGCAGTGGTGATGACCAGGGATGGGCGGGAGGTGGGGCGGGTCAGGGAACAGGCCTACTTTGGTGAGAAGGCGCTGATTGACGACGCGCCTCGCGACGCCACAGCCACAGGTGGGCGGGGGAAGGGGTGCCCGGCTGTACAAGCGGAGGCCCCGCTCTGAACACCCGCTGCCTGCCTCCCCGTGAGTCCTTCACACTGCCAGGGCAGAGGGGGCAGCTGCTGCCTGCCGTCCCCGCTGCGCCTGCCACCCCCGCCACCAGCTGCGCCTCGCTGGCGCGCTGCCGCGCTGGCTGCCTGCCGCCGCCCTGCAGCCGACGGCTACGTGGTGTGCTACACGCTGGGGCGCAAGGCCTTCCACGAGCTGCTGGGCCCCATCGAGGATGTGTGGCGCTACGAGACGCTGCGCAAGGCGAGAGGGGGTGCAGAGGAGGCCCGGCAGCCCTGCGGCGCGGCTGCCCTGCTGCCGTGATGCCACCTCCAGTACCGCCTGTGCTGCCGCTATCTGCGCGCCCTGCCGCTGCGACGCGCTCGATGCCTGCGCGCCCCTCCCCGTCTGCTCTTCTTGCCTGCAGGTGCCCATCCTGTCCAACCTGTCCGAGCAGCAGCTGTTCCAGCTGGCGCGCTGCATGGCCAACCGCTCGTTTGGGGCGGGGGAGGTTGTGTTCCGGCAGGGCGAGGCGGGGGACACCTTCTATGTGGTGGAGGAGGGCAGCTTCAGGTGAGGAGGGAAGCTGCCGGGACCGTGGCGGGCTGTGCACAGTGCGGGTGGGTATGGGGGCGGGAAAACGCCGGGGGTCGGCGTGTGATCGGTCGCTTGGCGTCCCTTGCCCGCCGCCCCGCCGCCCGCAGCATCACTGACGGCGCCGGCAGGGAGCTGGCCACGTGCGGCAGGGGCAACTGCTTCGGAGAGCTGGCGCTGCTGAACAACGAGGCCAGGTGGGGGCGGTGCAGGCCGCTGCTGGCGCTGCCGCCGCCTGTCAGATGGCTACTGCTGCTGGTGTGTGCGGGCAGTCCCGCCTGCCAGAGCCACCCCATGTCGCTCCGGCCTGCCCGTGAACCTCCCTGCTGCCCCCGCTTGCTGTATTGTGTGTGTGTGTGCAGGGCCGCCACGGTGCAGGCCGCCACCGCCGCCAAGGCCCTGGCTTGCACCCGCGCCGACTTTGACACCCACCTGGGCAGCCTGGCCGAGATACGCAACATGTGGCGGTTTGAGGCGCTGCGCAAGGCGAGTCGGGCGGCGGCGGCGGCGCCGCGCGGTGTGGCGGCGGCCGGGGGGTCTTTGCGTGCTTGCCACGTGGCAGCGGCGATGGCGACGGTGCATGGGTGAAGAGTGCTGGAGCCAACGCGCCTGCCATGGTTGCCGACTGACTCCGGCTGCTTGCCTCCCTCCACCCGCGTGTGTGTCCCCACCCCGCCCGCCCCGCCCCGCAGGTGCCGCTGCTGACGGCGCTGAGGCCGCAGCAGCGGCTGGCGCTGTGCACGGCGTTTGGCAGCCGGGTGGTGCCCGCGGGTCAGGCCGTGATTCGCAAGGGCGAGGAGGGCGACACCTTTTACATAATCGAGGAGGGCGGCTGCACGGTGGTGGGAGAAGAGGGCCAGGTGGGGGTGGCGGGGGCCTGTGGGGAGGCTGCGGCGGTGCTGTGGCGGTGGGTGGCCACTCGCATGTGCCTCCCGGATCGCGCAAAGGGCCCCGATTGCTCACCGCGCTGGCTGCCCAACAAATACCTGAGCGGCTGAGCTCCCCGCCTCCCTCCCTCCCTCCCTCCCTCCCTCCCTGCCTGCCTCCCTCCCTCCCTGCCTCCCTGCCTCCCTGCCTCCCCGCCTGCCAGGAGCTGGCCAAGCTGGGCCCCACCGCCTACTTTGGGGAAAGGGCCCTGCTGCGGAACGAGCCGCGCGCCGCCACCGTGCTGGCAGCCAGCGGTGAGCGGGGCGAGGCGGCGGCGGCGGCGGCGGCGGCAGCACCGCTCTCCCGAGCGCTGTCCCGCTCCCAGCCGCAATGCCTGGCCTGCAGCAGCAGCCGGAGCTTGGCAGGTGGCCCGCCAGCGCGCCCTGTGGCCTCGCCTTGATCCCCGCCTTTGCCTCCCTCCTCCCGTGCACGCCACCCCGCCGCCGCGCCGCCGCCGCAGATGTGCGGCTGCTGGCGCTGGGCCGCGACGACTTCCAGCGCCTGCTGGGTCCGCTGCAGAAGCTGCTGCAGAGCCAGGCCGCCACCTACGACACGCCCACCGCCAAGATAAAAAAGGCGCGGCGGTGGTGGCGGTGGCGCGCGGGCGGCGCCGCCTGGCCCGCCCCGCCTTCCTTGCCTCCCTTGAGCACGAGCTGCTCCCCCAGACCTGGCCTGCGCTGGCGCCTCCGCTCTGCCGCCACATACACTGCCACCAGTCGTACCACCACCATGCCACGCCACGCCACGCATCGCGCGCCACACCTGCCCGCCTGCTGCCACCTCCCTGCCACCCCCCTGCCGCCTCCCTGCCGCAGGCGCTGGCTCCCGAGGATCTGGCGCACGTGGCGGTGCTGGGCAGCGGCGCCTTTGGCCGCGTGACGCTTGTGTGCCACGAGGGCAAGTACTACGCGCTCAAGTGCCTGTCCAAGGCGCACGTGGTGCAGACGGGGCTGCAGGTGGGGGCGGGGGGGCGCGGGGGCTGGCCCACAGCACACCGGGCGGCAGCGGCAGCGGCAGCGGCAGGGGCAGCGGCAGGGGCAGCAGCGGGGCAGGGCCCAGTTCCATCCGCGGTCCTCGAGGGCGGCCGGGAGATGAAGAGGCACGCACGGTCGCTACCCGTCTCTTCTCCTCTCTTCTCTTGCCTTGCCTTGCCTCGCCTCGCCTCCCTCGAGCTGGGCCGCCCCTGACCTGTGCCCACCGCCCCTGCCGCTCCCCCTGACGAGCCCAGGAGCACATCAAGCGGGAGCGGACTGTGATGGCTGAGTTCGACTCCCCCTTCCTGGTCAACCTGGTGGCGGCCTTCCAGGTTGGGGAGGGCGGGGGGGCTAGGGGCGCAGGAGAAGGGGGGGCGGCCCGGTCTGCGGCCAGCTGGTCCACCCCCATTGCCCCTCCCTGCCCCTGTGCCTGCTGTCTCGTCCCCACACCCCCACTTGACACACTCCCCACTCCCCAACTCCCAGGG